AAAACTTCAAAGCAGGATAATAGAAAAACAACAATGATCACCATAGTATATCTTATTATCTTCACAATAGTTGTCCATTCCATCAGATATAGCAAAATCAAATCAAAACAAAACAGAATAAAGCCAATCAAAACAGAACATTCAATAAAGCAAAACTATTAATCAGAACAAAACAGTGAGAACAATATTGGAGTTCAAAGACAAAATAAAAGGAAACCCTCCATATTCACTATATTGCATGCTGTCATCCTCCCAACAGATGCTCAAACCGCTAGCTCTATTCCTGCATAATCAACCAAACAATCGAGCATTCAGCTGCTTTTTGTACCTCAGTTGCTATCCTGTCCTCTGAACCAGCAGGTTATTTATGCTTACGGGGTGGGGCTGTTGCTTCACACCCCCACACGCTGGTAGGCTCATGGGAGGCACTGACTTTTCTCTTCCTGGGCCCCACAGGATTGTAGGGCTCACCAGAAAGGCTAACTAGTTGGGTGCTTGGTGGGCTCCTTCTAGTTCCAGCATGGCTGATTCTTAGGAGATGCTGACTTTTCTTCCCTAGTTGCTTTTGACACACCAAGCAAAAGTAGAGATTGAAAACAATACGAGTATACAAAAGAACACCCCTTCTCAAGTCCTCCGCTGGGTGATAACCTCAGGGCAGTGGAGGTGTGATGCTTCTAAGTATGATCATATTGAAGATTGCACTGCCTACTTCTCATGTAACCTGCACTATCCTTGCTTTTCTCCACTGACAAAACTGTGACCCATTTAATTCATGAACAGAACAGATTTGAGTTAATGCAGTCAGCCGAGGAAAACCCACAGCTTGTTTTACTTATACCTTTGGTGCAAAGCCAATTCATTATTTGTCTAGGTGTAAAATTGCCTTAAGTATGGTGAAAGCAAATGAAATTATTTGGGGTTTGCAGGCGAATTTGTAATGTTTTTCATCACGGAGCACACTTAGCCCATGCATTAATAGACAAGCGTGCCTTGGAGGTTACACTGGAGGTTTACTGGTAGAATCAGGTTTAGAATGAAAAGGGAAGGCAGAAGCATGATGTGGAAGGAGGTATTTGTTTTATCTTCATGCATTTTGTTGAGGGTACCAGGAGTTGTGAGAATTTAGACAGTTAAAATTTGCTTGACAGATTGCTGCTACAAAATTTCTAGTGATATTATCATGCAGAATAAACAGGAAATGGTCAAAAGCTATTGCTCTTCAAAAGTCTGACTTTTGTACAACTGTCAACACAGCAATTATTTTGTCTTTTTTTAAGGTGGAGGAACATGTTATAGGGGTTTTTTTAAAGGAAGTTTTGAAACCTGTTTAAAACTTTTTTCTTAAAAAGAGGCCTTTTTTTTTTTTTTTTAAAGTCAAAATGTCTTCGGATCCTGAGCAAATGCAATGAAGCGGAAAGCGTGTGATTCCAAGGCCAGGTTTTTGAGAGGAGTGTCGAGCGCTGAATTCAGGCATTCTTGCTGCGCTCAGCAGACTTGGGCCAGCAATCAAAACCATTTGATTCTAAAGCTGATATTCCTATAACCAGGCAGGTTCCAGCACATTGTGAGCTCTGAAAAAGCATAATTACAAACAAAGCCTGACAAGCAGCACACTTAATATAGCTCTCTTCTTTGCTAGAGCACACAGCTTTTTTCACTTGTATGCTCTCACCTGTCCTTAGGAACCCTTGCTTGCCACCTTTCATGACAGTATCAAGACCAGAGGGAAGTGGCCAGGCAAGGCCGCGTGTTGTTCCTGGCTCACAATGACCCCTGATGAAATGCATGGAATCGATGCATGAAATCTGTTGGAGGACAGTGATGGGATGGGATGGTAAAAACCAACAGGAGGCCTCTGACTTCAAAGGGTTGATTGACTTGGTAGGGATCGCATGGTGTGAAGGCCAGGTGGAGGGACGATTACAATCCCTCTGCTCAGGAGACTGCAGTGCTAGCTTCTTCTCACTCGGAGAATAATAGCTCATCTTACTGTGGCAGCATGAAGAGCCTTCACCACACCAAGCCCAGGCAGAACAAGAGAATATCTTGAGTTGTCTTTAATGAGTCCACACCAATGTTCTACTGCTGTGCAACAAATTACCACAAACTTAACAACGTAAAATAATGTTATGACCTCACAGTTTCTCTGGGTCAGAAGGAGCCTGGCTACAAGTGAGCTGGCCCCTTTGTGTAGTCTCTCATCAGATTGAAATCAATCAAATGACCAGGCAACCAGCTCCCATTAGGTGCTGAGGGTCCTCTTCCATGCTCACATGGTTGCTGGCCAAATTGCTTTCCTTGCATTCTTGTGGTGCCAATTTTCCTGCTAGGGAATTGGTCTCAGTTCCTAGAAGCTACTGCCACTCCTTGCCACGTGGACCCAAAAGGCAGTTCACAACATGGTTGCTTGCTGTCTTCTGGGTCAGTTGGAGCTTATTGCTTTGACACTTTTCTGTCTTCTGAAGGCTCATCTGATTAGGCCAGGACCACTCAGGACATTGATATCCATAAGCAAATCTCACAGGCAGCACCACCATCTATTGTCAGTCTGTAGATGAATACATTCTGTATTCCTCAGAGCTTAACTCAGAGTCACTGATTAGTACCCTGAGCTTGAAGTGTCATCTTCTCCTACTTACTAGTCCTGCCCACACTCAAAGGGAGGGGATTGTGTAGGGCATGCAGGGAAGAATATGCGATCTTGGTGAGGTCACCTTAAAATCCTGACTTCCACATGTTCCTCTGCCCACGTCCAGGTACCTGACTGCTTTTGCCACCTTGTGCTCTATATCCAGGAGCCACAATCTTCCAAATGATTATTCTTTTATCCTTTCCATCAATATGTCTTAAAAAATAGAGCAATATTTTATAAAAGGAATTAATCACTAATGGTAGAGTTTCAGGTAGTATAATGAGCACTTGCTTTTGTATTGTCAATGCCTAGCACAGTATCTGGTATGCAGGAGACCTCAATTTATATTTCTTCAATAGATGAATATGTGAATGATTAAATGAGAAACATTCTGAGCATCTTCATCAGAGTGCATCCATATAAAAATGCCTTCTCCCTCCATGTCAGGATGAATTCTCACTGTAGGTTTAACCCTCCTCCCCCAATAATGCATACTTATTATAAAACACTTTGGGATGTTCCTCCTTTTTATGATTTTATTTTTTATATTTAATTTTTTAATCTAAGTGGAACTAAGTTCTTGATATTACATATAAAATATTTCATCTCTACCCATTAATCTGTCATATTTCTCTTTTCATATACTTCTCTTATATATAAGGTACTATTTGTGAGCCAGAAGCACCTATTTTAATTTTTCAAATTTTATCATGTTCTAAGATTCAGGAGGGTGGGTGGTGGCTCATTATTCTTCTTTCAACCTCCTCTCAGCCAGTTCATTAAACAAGGGTCTGTTTTGTTCTGCAGCTCTTCAGGCAGCACAGTGGTCTTGGGCAAAGTCTGAACATAGATCTAGGTTTATATTGGACTTCTGTGTTTTCCTGTCTCAACATCTCTGGGTCTTACTGAAATAGAAACTTCGAATAACACTTCCTGTAAAACAAGCTTATTGTGAGAACAGAGGGATCTTCAAAGAATCACCCAGCATTGAGGTGTCAATATCTACCAGCTGGAAGGGAGGGATAACTGACTGTCCTGCCACTCATGCCTCTGTGCCTGCATCCTCACAGGCATGGACTCTAGAAAGCATTCTGCATGAAGACCGTGGTTTGGGTCTCTGAGATTCAGGACAACTGCGAGGCTGGGCATGCTAGGGTTTGTTTGGTTCTAGCCTCTGTGTAGCCCCTTCAGGGTTCTCATTGACCTCAGGAAAGTCTGGAGGTTCTGTGAATTGGAGCCATCCCAGAATGAATTACAGGTCCTGGGAACTAGAGTCACTGTGGCACCCACTGATGTGATGCTGATGAGGGAACATGGGCAGGATTCTGACAGCACATGCTAGAAATTAAAGACTGAGGAAAAGGTTATAATTTCAGGAAGCTCCACCATATTGAACAATCCCTTGCATCTGCCTAGAGGCTGATAAACGTAACTTTCCTTAGACAGAGTGCAGGCACTTGAAATCAGAGGCCTGGGGTGAGTCATGGTAGTGAGGATTGTGAAGGCCACACTCTTTTCCTGGCATCTTCCCTCTGACTCACAGGGGCAGGGCATTCACACATTCATTCTGAAGAAAGGGTGTCTGAAGGCCTCCTCTGCCCTCTTGGGAGGGAGGATAGGGGATGTGAGAGTGAGTCACAGCCCCTCCCTGGTGTAGCTTTCAGACTACATACATGATGAGGAGAGGGTCTGGAGGAAATCCTGATCTTCTCACATCTTCCCTGATGATTGCACAACTTTCAATGAAAGTATGGGGTCGGAAAAGGGCTGAGACATTGTCCTGTCATGCTTTGTTCTTTTTCAAAGCCACTCTAAACTCAGATAGAGAACCAATGTGCCCAGGTTCATCCAGCTTTATAGCAACAATGGAATTTGACCACTTTTCTGCTCTATAATTCTCTGTATGAGAAATAGGGTTGCCACTTACTTTGATATAAGCTCCTAGGGACAGTTCTTGGTCTGTGAAATTATGGAAACATATTGAAAATTTTTAAGAGAGACAGAAATGGATGGCATTGAGTGAGTCAATGTAGGAAAGCAATATAACATAAAGGTCAAGACACAGACCCTCTGTGTTCATGTTCTGGTTTTACCACTTAATAGCTGAGGGAACTCAAGTCTTGTCTTAATGTCTCTAAGCCCCAATGTCTCAACTGTAAAATGACAATGTTTCCTTATAGATTTTCTTTAAAGACTTAAATAAGAGTATACACCTTGGCTGCTCAGTTCAATGCCCAGGACCACATTATGTGATCAGGATAAAGCATTTCCAGTGGGTCCTGCCCAGTTATGTGTGATGGGCCCAGACAGGCCCATAGGGTAAGACCAGGGTGCCTAGCTGACATCTCCTTTTGGACTTTTCCAGTTCCAGAGTCCTGGAGGAGCAGCACGGAGGCAGAGAGCGTGGCAAGAGAATGAAGAAACCAACTGCCTGGGGGAAGCATGAGGTGGCAGTGTGGCACTTGGCTTAGAGGGCTTCAGCTGGCAGCGGCCCCATGGGCAGCCCTGCTGGCACTGGCCCTGCCCGGCTGGGTGCTGGCTGTCTCAGCCACTGTGGCCGCTGCAGTGGTTCCTGAGCAGCATGCCTCCTCAGCTGGCCAGCCGCCCCTGGACTGGCTGCTCACAGACCGGGGCCCCTTCCACCGCGCTCAGGAGTATGCTGACTTCATGGAGCGGTACCGCCAGGGGTTCACCACCAGGTACAGGATCTATAGGTGAGTGGGCTCTTCCCTGGCTGAGACCAGGGCTTCCCTCAGAAGCCAAGCTGGGCAGGCTCTGCTCATGGGCACCAACCCCTCCAGTGCCAAGCCAGGCAGGACGCTCTCAACCTGAACCAGGGGTAAGAGCTTGAGGAACACCAGGCAGGGAAAAGAAGCCTGCCACGTTAGTTTTTTAAAATAAGAAAGACAAAACACATACAAGTTGAAAAACCTGCTGATGCCTCCTGGGGAACTTAGCAAAATGGTTTCTATTTATAGGTCGTGCTGCTTATAAATTGAGGACAATTCAGGCAGCATGGAGTCCGTGTGTGGCCCGTGCTGCCGCAGGAGGTCAGAGTCAAACGCTGGGGCTGGGGTTTAACTAATGGGTTAGATATTTTTATAAGTTGTAATTACTTAGACATGCAAATGAAGGAAGGGAAGCTCTAGCTCCTGCCTTCCAGGCCTAGGGAGCCCTACAGGGTCAGAGCTAGACCTCTGTCACCCTTGTCAGTGCCACAAGCTCAGCTGCTTTGCGCATAGAAGTGGGCTCTGCCTTCCTGGCTTCTTATGCCCATCTCCGAGAGCCTCCTGGCTGAAAGTCAAACGTGTGAATCATGGCTGGCCTATCTGCTGGGCTAAGCTAGCATGTATTCCTGGCTGCTGGACCAGCACCCGCACAGTAGAGGGTTCCGCAAGACCTTCACCCTGGGTAACCCACCAAGGCTCAGGCTCTCCCAAGTACACCCTCACTTCAAACATCCCCTTGATCCCTCTGCACACTTGCCCATTCATCATCTAACCCTTTCTTTTTTCACCTTATCTGTGTAAGGTAATGTCTTTAGACAACGCTGGGAGTCTTTTTTCAAGGACATTTATTTTTAATTATAAATTAGTTTCTAATGCAGAAAAAAATGGAGAAAACATAAAAAGAAACAAAAACACAAAATCACTCATTCTTTTTAGCATGGAGAGTTTGCTATTAACATTTTGGCATGTCCTGTGAAGATGCTGTTTTTGGATCTCTTGCTAGACTTTGCATGGCTTATATAAATCATGTCATTTAATTCTTCCAGCAGTCCTTTGTTGGAAGAGTAGTTATTTTCTTTTTATGGATGCGGAAATTGAAGGCCAGAGAAGTTATGAAACTTGCTATAGAGTACACAACTAATACTTGGGGTTAGTTCCCAAGCAGTGAGACTTTGGAGACTTTGGTTCTTAAAATATCAAATATTGAGGGCTGGGGATTTAGTTCAGTGGCTTTTAAGCCTGCCTGGCAAGCACAAGGTCATGAGTTTGATCCTTGGTACAAAAAAAATAGCATTTTCTTTTGGGGGCGTTTTTGTAGTATCTGCAATAATCACGCAACGTGTTTAGGTTAGCATGGGGCCTCAGAAACAAAGCCTGGGACTATGCAGCAATGGAAGATTCATGAGTGATAAAGCAGACAGGTGTATAGCAGTCACTCACCAGGTTTACAATTCCCATACGTGGATGCACACTGAGAGGAAGACCATGTGTGAGGGGCTGGTTCATCACAGGGCCAAAGGCATGTCAATCTCAGGCAGAGCCCGCCTACCTCTCCCTTTCGGCCATTTCTCTTCCATTATGCTTGGTTACTGCCAGGTCCTAGAAGGCCTAGCAGTTCACACTCTTGCTTCTTTGGCCCTCGCTCTTTTCCTTCTCCTAAGACTGTTGTGAATTTCATGCAGAATTACCGAAGCAGAGCATGGCCGCCCCAGGCTGGGAGCACTTGAATTAACACCTGCTCGGATAAAAGCAGGTAAGAAGAGGCCGCGGCAGAACACTGACTCAGCTTTCAGTAAACATGTAGCTATGCCCCACAAATTTTGTACAAGGCAAATCAGGTTGACCCTTCTTTTATCAAAAAATTTCTTTTTCCACCTCTTTAAAAAAAATTTAAAATGGACTCTATAACGTGTTGAAACAGAGAATCATTCCAATGTAATAAAATAAGATTAAATTTGCCTTGGACTAGGTGTATTCCAAATCTCACAGAAGCAATATTACCACCAAAATAAATTTTTAAAAGAATAAGTCAGATTGGGACTCCAACACAACTACTTACTTCAAAGGGTGACAGGAAGCCCTTTGAAAACTTTCTCCCCTCTGTGGACTTTCCCCCCTCACTTAGCCCAATGTCTGGGAACCCTGGCAACCAGTCTGCCTGGGCAGCAGCTCAGAGCTGACACATAGTGAGTGTCAGTAATCACTTCTGCATCTTCAACCACTCTATCAGTTGGTAATGGTTTTCTGATCATTTAATGTGACAAGCTCTTACAATGTGGCACTCTTTCTCTGGGGTCAGTTATTACACATGAACCCGCACTGGAGGAAACAGTAACCAGTCATTCTGACAAGAATGCAGGATTCTGATTTGTGATCCTTGGATGGGGTGAGAAGGAAATGGTCACACACCACTGCTCCAGGAGCATTCTGGGAGTTTTGCTTTCAGTGATTAAGCAAAATGGTGGCTCCATAGATTCTCGTTATGTTATCCCACTGGGAATTCTCTCCAGTCTTCTTTACTTCCATCTCTATGGCAATTGCCTGTGGCAAATTCAGGACTTTACCTTACACTGACTAAAACAGGTCACAGAAAATTGGTGACATATACAATTAGTCATCCCCCAATTTTTCTCCTACTCTCCGAAAGAACAGAGAGAGAAAAAAAGCTTACACGGAGTATCAGAAATGTTTTGTGGAGGAGTATTGGGTCTCTAACAGAATTAGTCTTAAATTTCTTTCTTTAAGGAAGTTCCTGGTACAATGAAATCAGGTGGCATGACCATATGCTTTCCATGCAAAAGGGAGAAGGATGGAAATAGGAAAGAATAAGATTTTGCAGTGAGGATGAGGCCAGAATACTTGGTATAGAATCTCCTGAAACTCTCTCACACAGCAGAAGCAAGACTGTCTTTCTGTTCTAGCTAAGGACAAGATTGTACCTTTTGCCCGCTAAGGTTCTGATAAGTTCCATCAGTTCTTATTTTGATATCAGAATGTGTGTTCACTCTGAAATAACTAGCCAGTGTAGATTAGCCCCACTTGTGAGCTTTACTCTCTTCACTACAGATTCGTGTTCCTATAGATGGGTAAGGCTGTAGACTGGAGCTTGATGGTGATCTGGTTTCTAATCTTGGAGCTACCAATTATTAGTCAACTGTACAATGTTTTGCAAATTACTTAAACTCCTTGTTTCCCAGTTTCCTTTTTCATAAAGTGAGGACAATTAATAGCATTCACCTAATGGGTTGATGTGGAGATTAACTGAGTTAATTTATGTGAGCTACATAGAACAATGCTTCATAAATATTACTTGTTATTAATAGATCATCCTCAGTAAATATTTAACCTGCACAAGCATGGCAGTGAGATATAACCATGGATACTACCTTTGTTATAATGTCTGCTGGATGCTTAGCATTCAACAACCTGCACTAGAAGGGAGGAATTGTTCTTTTGCTTGCCTTTTTAAAGCATGTTAACCCTTACCTATCAAGGTAGCTCTTTTTTGGGGGGGAGAGGATCTCAATTGGAGATGCTCAAATCTTCTCTGGGGAATCATTCTACTGGGCATAATGGCTAGAGGGAGCAAGATATTTCCATTGTGTAAAGAGTGACCAGGGGCCAAGACCTTGCTGGTAAAGTCAGGGATTGCTGAGCAGCAGTCCTTAGGCATGACTGGTCATTGCTGGCTTTCTGGTCCCAGGGAGGAAGTGCAGTTTCAGGGAGGGGGTGTGGTTAAGAGGAGATAATATGATCTCTGGTTAGGCCTTCCTATGTAACACGATAGGCTCAGGCATTTTACTCCAAAGTGTTACAATTGCATTGATCAGCTCCTCAGCATGTCCTCTAAACCTGCCTGAGCAATCAGCCCACTTCTCAGACAGCATCTCTTAATAGGCTAATGGGAAGAGTTATAAGGGCAGAGATCTTGCCTCCAGTTCCATTTGTGACCCTCCAATGTCCCTTCCTTTGCTCTATTCCATAACCCCTGCTGCACTCAACACTTAAGTGAGTAACCTCTCACGGCTGTGCTGTGAGGCAGATGTGGGATCTTAGGGTCTAAGTCAGTGAAACAGTTATTCAAGGTCAGAGAGGTAGCCAGTTCCAGCCAGAAATAGCAGTCAGGGCTCCTGACTTGAAGTCTCCTTGCTCATTACTTAAGACCACGCCACTTCCTTTTGACTGGTAAGTGCATCTTCATCATAACACACAACCTAATCAGGCACCTAAATTGAGCTGATGCAAATGTAAATATGGTTTCTCGAAACACTCTAGCAGTAATGTTCCATTCTCTCTTTGCTACAAATCAAAGTAATGAGCAGTATGGGGTTTTTTAGAATTTCTTTTTGTATTAAGGTTTTAATAGAGAGATAATCATGGCATTGGAAAAAATCCAAGCCACTATAATGAAACACTTAAAACTTGGAAAGAATAAATTAAAATAGGAGAGAAAGTTAGAAATCATACAGAACAGTGAATACAACACGGTAGCTAGGAGGACCCCAGGGCTAGGTATAATTCCAAAATATTGACCAGGGTCATTATTACTTCCATTTCTACCTACCTCTTCTAGGACATTAGACGTCTTTGGGGAAACAGAACAAGAAACTAAATAGGTATCTTCATTGAAGAAAAGGGAAAATCATATTGTGGGCAAAGTTGGCAAACATCTGGAACCAAAGTAGAACAAAGGTAAAAGCCAAGAAAGTTTGGGTGAGAAGTGGTAGAATCAGATGATGTTTTAAATGACTGAAGTTAAGAAGAAAGAACTTCTCAGCAGACATCCTAGCAATTCAGCTAAGAAAGAACAAAATTTGGAGATAATTTAGATGTGAATGAAGTGAGAGATGAAAACAACCGGGTATGTGATGCCTTCTGGTGGCTGTGTTTGGCCTGGACTAAGAATTTCTTAGAAATGAAGACCCTACAGAAACAGAATCTGCATTTGAAAAAGATCCTCGGGTGCACTCAGAGGCATTAAAGCT